CACGTTTTACTTTTAAAGATTTCAGTACCTAAAAACGCCAGAAATTTCACTATTTCTCGGCCAATACAATTTACAATAAACCAACTCTGTGTTTTCGCTTTCATTTTCAAGGGTAGCGACACCTGTGACAAAGTATACAAACTAATTATACCTACAAATTCTTGTTTGAGATAGAAATCACTAAAATTCTGGTTTAAGTATAGAATAAACATGGAGTCGTGTGTAAAATGTTGTCATCTTACTTGAGGACACAAATTATAGAATTGTTAATAAATATTAATCTGAAAATTAAATACAAATGATCCTAAGTGTCCGTTCTAGTGAGTGAAGTAGTTTGGTTATTGTGCCTGACCTAGTTCCGTCGTAAATCCAATATATTGGCAGACTAACAGTATGGTTAAAATTGAGGTACTTTGGCATTTATTTAAATTATTCTTCTGTTCTCATGAGCATTGAAATTTATTTCACTCACTATCGGGAACCATTGCGAATACATTGATATATAATAATATTCAATTATGTTAGTTTCTTCGACGATTTGTGTCCTCATTTTAAGCTCTGTTACATGCTAAAAATATACATACTAAATCGCCCCCTTAATAGTATCTCGCTTATTGTCAGAGATAGACCCAACAAACCTTATATGACTATGCTCCACAGGGAACGTTCTATCCAAATATGTACAAATATACAGGGTGTTCCGTTTAAATGAACAAAGTTAACATCAGCGGCCATTTTGTTTGGACTTCAATTGTTTTTCAATCATCATTTTCGAAAAATTCATAAAAAATCGTGTAATTTTTGTATTTCACATTTTTTATAACTCTTAAAACAAAAAAGTTAAAGGGGGGGTCAAAATATAGTGAATCACCCTCTACGTAAAAGAATTGAGAAGTGCATAGAATTAAATGGTGGATTGATAGAAGTGACAAGAACATAAACAACTTTTGTTGTTTCATTATTTTATATTTAAATTTGTCAAAACTAAGAATATTAATAATTTATTGTAATACTACATATTACTAGAGTTTAATTAATAACAATTTTTTATTTTTATTTTGCTTCATGGACAACTTGATATCAACGAAAAAGTAAAGACTTTTGGTTTGGCTACAAAATCGTTATTATTTAAAATTTTTTAATAAAATTTGGTATAGACCCGTTTTGGGGGGGTCCTGAATCCAGTGGTGTAAATGTATTTTTTCTTAAAAAATCCCTAATATGAAATATCAGAATTTTACTAAAATAATTGTCTGTTATGTCAATCCTTGTTAGATGTTTTTGGCGTAAAATTAAGTCTTTCTGTGATTTGAATGGTTCCAACAACTTTTTTTCAGACTGTACCGATAATCACAGTTCGACGTAAATGAAAATTCAAAAAATAATTAAGGTTTATAAATTTTTAAGGCGAAACATTTGCAAAATATTAAAAAGTATGCGAAACACATACTGACGCATACATTTTCTATACCACCCACCTTTTGAGGATGCTAATGGTATTAACCTCAAAGAATATAAACTTCGCTGAAAACTTGGGTAGTCCTTGCTAGAAAATTAATAAAGTAATGGCCTGAACATACCTGTGGGCTGGACCGTTGTGTCGAACTTGTGTAATGACGAGGGGCCTGCTGAGATGGGGGTGATCCGGAACCAAACCGCCCCTCAGGGTGATGCCGAGCGAACCGTCGATTCGTTCTATTGTCACTTCCGTCACCTTTGAGGTCACGCAGAGGGAATTCTGCGAAGCTGCGAACAAACGACATAAGTAGTATGTTTGCTTTACATAACCGATTTCAGATTTCGCTCGTTATGAAGGCGAATCAATCATCCGTGACAGTCGCGAGCTTCCCCAGAATAACACTCGAGTTTTATGGGGGAAATAAAAAAAAACGGGCCCCTAACAAATATTTCTTATACTTATTTTATAGCGTTGTTAAATCAAAACGAGGCAATTGTAGACAATAATGCTTGATTGTTTTCAAATTAAATTGTTTCCTTATCATATATTTGCTGACTGGGACACATTTCACGCCATACACCACGCCACGAGATGATTTATTGGGGACGATGGGAATAGACAAAGACAACGCACTACAACCATATAGTAGGGTGGGGTACCTATATTTGAGTGAAACTACTCAGTTTTAATTCAAGTATTATCACAAGTGAGTAAAATTATCAAAATGCTTAATATTGAACGATTTTTTTTCTAGTGTAGCAGTTTTGTTTCTCAAAAGATTTTCTTTTTCTTTGGATATGCTGTATATGAAAGTACTACCAAAAGTGGAATCTACTCGTATTTTAGTAAAAAATCGGTTACAGACAGAAAATTTCATTTTAATTGTTGCACTTTGCTCCCGCAATATTCCCGTTGTGAAAAGTGGGGTTCGATTCAATCGAATCCCACAATAAGAACCTTTTATTCACTCGAGTTCAATATATTTACACTTGAAATGAAAAGACCGTTATATTACGGCTTTTACTTTGTCAAATATCCACAAATCAAGATAAAAACTTACGTATTGGAGAACGGGCAGTATTGGGAACTCCGACACCATCTATCTGGGGGATTCTAAAGATGAAATATGTATCGCATAAAAGAGGTGTAGCGTCGGGTTTTCATGTTTCCTTCCAATTTTAGAAGCCCTAGATGTTTGGTGTCGAAGTTCGTGTAATCCATTTTTATACCATTTAATACAACGCGAAACATCAGTTTTCAAAGGAGAGTGGTGACCTCAAATTACCGCTGAAGATTTTTTGTACAAAAAAAATATCGAATACATCATTTTATGATTATACAGGGTGTTCGGAAAGGTCGTGTTAAAAATGAAGGGGTATAGTGTTAGAACAAAGGGATGACAAATAAAAACACGACCATTGAATGCACTGTGTATGTTGTATTTATCAATCGCTCTGAACAACTCAACTGCTTAAAATCGAAAACTATTTCAGTTCATAAAATGTATCGGCTAATATTTAAAAATCTATCATAAACAAGAAACGTTCGAGGTCCAGCTGCGTCAGCTCGCGTGGAGGACCACGGTCACCTCGTTTCTTACAAGGTCAGGGAAGGTCAAAAATTTTCCTATAGGGCTTCGTTGTGGAGTTATTCGCCTTCAAAGACAGAAGTTGAAAAACAAATTCCATGACAACAATGAAATTTGAAAAGAATGAAAGTTTAAACTAATATTCAATATGCCTCGATTATACAGGAGCAGACAAAATTATCCATTTATATGTCTATTTGACAGCGTTGCCAAATTTGACGTTTTTCTTTCATAGCTCGATTCCTCTCTCACTTTGCTACAGAAAAGGTATAGCGTATATCAGTCGATATCCTCTTCAGTTTTTGAGAAAATCAAATTTTATTAACAACAAACATTTATTGTGTCAAAAATGTGTTACTAACATTTTTGTAAAAATCTTGGCTTCTACAGAATTAAAATAAAAAAGAGAACTGTTAACTAAGATGTTCAATATGTGTGAACCTTAAATTTTGACCTTTGACCCCGAATAACTTTTTTAGCACACATGGGATCGATGGGGACTTTTGACACTTTATTTCTAATGGCGTACCCAAGGGCTCCACCAAAATTTAGCTCTGTCAGAATTTTCGTTATTTGACCACTATTTTTATGACTAATTTGACCGGACTATATGTAATTACGCGATTTAATAATTATTCCCTACTATTTATAGGAATTTGATAAACAAGACTTTTAAGATGGCCCCAAAGAAAAAAATCTAGAGGATTAAGATCGGGAGACCGAGGCGGCCACGGAAGAGAGTGGTGCACCATCGGGCACAAGCTTCATATTATTTCAAATATTTAAAGGAACGTCTTCCAATGATGGGTTAAGTTGTTCTTGAAGTAAATATAGGTATATATCGCCGTTTAAAATGTCATCAATGATATGTGGTCCCACTAAGTAGCTTCCAATTATTCCCATCCATACGTTAATGATAAATTTTTGATGGTATTTTGTCTGAATAATAGCACGGGGGTTTTCTTCACTTCAAATATGCAAATTCTATTTGGAAAGCGGTGCCCCTGCTCTGTGCCGGTTCTTATGCGAAACAAACACCCTGTATTTCCAGGATACAAATCAAATAGAAGTTGATTTTTGTCAAAAAGGGCATAAAGAATATTTGTATATTTATCTTTATCTGTTGTTAATAATAAAATTAAAGTTATAAATTAAATATTACTTATACAGCGTGGCACAGCGAAAAAAGCCATTTAAAATTTGCCGAGGATTCCATTTCGTTTTTGGCTAATTTCCGGAGCACCCTGTATATCTTTTTGGTCAGGTCACGGACATTTTATTTAAATAAAACGTTAAAATCTCACTCACAATATACATATTTTACATCAGATGCTAATATAACAATTACGATGAATTTTAGATCGCCTTGGGCTTCTGACATGACGGATTTCCTCCGACAATGGGAAGCAGACAAAGGGGTTGGGTTTATTAAACCTCCCTCATAAATATTTATCACTTGGAGGCGAGTTCCGTGCACGAACATTTTCATATTTTTATTATTTAAATGAAATCGGTACTACATTCCGTAGTTCAAGTACGGAGGTGTTTAGACCTCTGAATTAATAGAGTGGAATGTAATCGATAATCATCCCCAGAGGAAAAGGTAACGCGCTTAATTGCGAGCGGAATTAATACAACTTCCTTAAGACGGGCGAAGTTGGATTAAACTTTTTTCGGCGGAAAACGGCAAATGAATTGTAAGGGAACGATAAATTCGACAAAATATTAATTAGTTGATTACTTAATTCAGTAATTAACGTGTTAGTTCGTGAATTAATTAATAATGTTTAATTAATTAATCAATTAGTGGACAATTTAGTGAATTTCAAAAGAATCAGTTTTGAGTATACAGAAATAGTCCAATTAAATCGCAATTTTGGTCAACTTGCCTGAATTTTTGATATAAGTTAGTTTAAGGGCCCCATATTCTTTAAATAGTGTTTTCCGCAAAGACAAATAATTTCAAACATTTAATAACTGAATAATCTAAAGCTTATCAAATAATAGGAATGTTATGTCATGCCACCTGAGTATTTTCAAAGACGCCGCAGTAAAACGAATAAACAGGTGCAAAAAACGATCAAACCATCAAAGTTTTAGGTACTGAAATCTACGAAAATACTAACTTTTTTATATATAATTCCACATGTAAATATTCTTATAACATTTACTTGCTTAGTCCTACATATAAAATTGTTTACTTTTATTTATAAGTACGTGAAAATAATTGTTAAAATGTGGGGTTTGAATAACAGCAAACGCATGTTTTACAAACGCTATTTTTTTAGTTATTATTTTATTTGAGTAAATTTAAATGGTAACAATGAATAAACAAAACATCAAGGATTTTATTTTTGTGCTTACTTTTGTTCTACACTTTTAAAGATTTCAGTACCTAAAAACGCCAGAAATTTCACTATTTCTCAGCCGGGAATATGGCCACCTTAAGGTATATAATAACAATAAGTGACAGTAATGTTTCTTTCAACCCCCAGCCAAGGGTAAAAAACGATAAAATAAAGGGGTTTTTTAATATAATTCAAAAGGGGTAAGAGCTAGAAAAAAAGGATTCTTATAAAAGTTGTAGAGTATAAAATTCTATATAAAAATAGTATATTGACTTTTTCTTATACTGTTAAAATTAACAGAGTTAGGGAGACTAGAAGTAAGGGATGAATTCAGAAATTAAAAAAATCATAAGCAGAATCATGAATGAATAATATATACATTTTTTCATCTACTCTAAAAAATATAAACTTTCTTTTAATTTAATTTAATATTATTATTATTATTATTATTATTACATTTTTTTTAACTTTTAATATAAATGTTATAACAATTTCAATTTAATTGTTAATTTTTATGATTTCAACCTAAAACAATTTTTAAAATTTAAAATAATGAAAAGTTGCTTTCGAAATTTTGTTTTACGATAAAGATAAAAAATCACTTTTTTATTAAAAATTAAAAAAATATATTTCTCTGAAATAGAGTAGACTGAAAAAAAATTATGAAATTCATTAATTTTTCTGCTTGTTATGATTTTTTTAATGTCCGAAATCATCCCTTAACTTCTAGCCTTATACGAGGTTGAGCATATTGAACATAGAAAACAATGGAAACTTTGTCAATAATATCTATACTTTTATCAGATGAATCGACATTCTGCTTGAACGGTTTTGTAAATCGCCATAACTATCGTTAATGGAGTGATCAAAATCCACACTGGGTTGAAGAAAATTACACTCAATATTCTCAGAAATTAAATGTATGGATGAGCATAATCAGAGGACATACCATCAGCCCATTCTTTCTTAGAGAAAATTTGAACCCTAATCGTTATTTACACCTTTTGCTCGAGCAAATTATTCCAGCACTGATTCGTTTATTTCCAAACCAAGCAAATCCTGAACTACTCTCAAATGACGTTTGGTACCAACAAGATGGAGCTCCGCCTCATTATGATGTTGATGTGCGTCGGTACCTAAATAATGTATTTCCACAAAGACGGATAGGGCGAAGAGGATATATTGAATGGCCACCGCGATCGCCAGATTTAAGTCCGCTAGACTATTTCCTTTGGGGTTATTTAAAATCTGTTGTCTACAAGACCGAACCTGTTGGACCGAAGAATTGAAAGATCTAATTAGGATGGCCGTTCTTTTTTTAATATTCAGGTGCTCCTTATTTTGCTATAAC